TGCCTCCCAAGTGCTAGTATTAAAGGTATGTGCCACAATGCCCAGTTTTTCCTTTGCTACAGCCTACTGGCTTCCTCTGTTACTGTGTCCAGTAGACCTAAGTGTTAAGACTTATGGTAACCAGGGACTGTCTCTGACACGACTGATTGGCCTGCTATTTGATCACCTCCCCCTGCGGGGGAAGCAGCCTTACCAGGCCACAGAGGAAGACAATGGAGCCAGTCCTGATGAGACCTGATAGACTAGGATCAGAGGAAGGAGAGGAGGACCTCCCCTATCAATGGACTTGGGGAGGGGCATGAGCAGAGAAGGTAGGGGGAGGATGGGATTGGGAGGGGAGGAGAGAGGGAGCTACAGGAGGGATACAAAGTGAATAAATTGCAATTAATAAAAATAAAAATAAAGACTTATAGTCACCTGTAAGGGTTCCTCTGGGTCCTTCTGAAGGTTCTAGAGAAGGTGTAAGTTCCTTGGGTTCTAATTCAACAGATTTGGAAGGCCCTGAGAATATGCCTGTGGGATTCTCAAAAAGCCATCTTGGGTATCGTTGCAAAGCCTATATATGTGTCTTTGGTGGGTTCTGAAGTTACATCTGAAAGTGCTACTAGGGTATCTACATGAGATCACAGGTTGGTTCCTGGTGTATAATGAATAGGATCATGGCTAATATGATGGCCCTAAGTCACAATTCTTTCTCCTTTTCCTAGTCAGTGTGTGATAATTTCTACCTCTCTTATTTGAGCTATCTGGGCATTCTCTTTGGCTTTATCCTTTTATACACAGCAAGCCAGGCATCTCAGGACTCTGTCAATTAAGGGGAGAAGATAACAGAGTATAAGATCAGTCTACATGGACTACATGGTGAGAGCTTGCTTCAAACAAAGGAACAAATGAAGGATAGCAAACTTAGGAGAACTATTCAGTGTTTAGTGATGTGTGTGTGTGTGTGTGTGTGTGTGTGTGTGTGTGTTTGTGTGTGTAAAGGCAACAGCAAGATGGTAAGAGTTTGGGAAAGCACTCTGTTACAGAAGCATGGCAAATGTATCACACAGTTTAGAAGAACTATACTGCATACAACTTAGCTAAAACTGTGGTGAATCACTTTGTGGAAGCAGCCATTAGTAAAGGTACATGCTTGCTTCAAATAAAAGAGAATAATTGAAAAGCTTTTAACATCTCCCTCACTTTTTCAGTCATTCCTCAGTACACTCTTAATTCCTCTTCCTATCCATTCCAACCTCATGGGCAGTAGAACCCATGCAGTTTATCTTTGCATTAAAATGATTACAGATTTAGCATCCATACAGTCCAAACCAGGTCTTCAAAACCATGTGGCATGCATGACTCGGTTTAATATCAATGGGAGAAAAAGAAGACATCTGTCTTGTCAAAACATGAATACTCCCAGAAATAAACTAGATTTGCACAAACAAAAAGCAACTGCCTACATTTTGTTTGTAAAAGTTGTCATACTAGAATGTGACAGTCTCAGATACATAACTCTTTAAAGACGTTTTAACATAATATATGTAATTTTCTTGGGTGTTGGGAGCCGCTAGTCTGCCAGGCTGCTTTGTTATTTAAATCTCAAGATCTCAGCGGAAAGACTTTCTCCCACGGCCTTCACTGGAGTCAGTGATAAGCTCCCAGGTCTCTCTCCTTTTGTTTGAGACGGCAAGTGGGATGTCTTGTCAGAGTCACACCTTTTGCTTGACTTCCCTGTGAATTCATTCATTGTGCTGAGGTGCTTTGGCTCTGACTTAAAAAGGAGTCTGGAATAAAGCAAGGCATCTAGTATCTACTAGAGCCTCTCGGAAAGGTCCCACATGCTGTGTGTTGGTTTATTAATTTCAATTCTCACTCCCGACTCAAGAATCGTTCAACTCTGCCAGCGGGCTCCAGGATGTGTGGAGATATATGTGTGTGTGGAGGCCAGAGGAGTATATCGGGTATCCCGCTCTCATTTTATTTCTTTGAGACAGTGTCTCTCCAACAGCACCAAGGTTACAGGCATGCATACAGCCACATCCAGCTTTTAACACAGAAACTAGAGATCCGAACTCTTATCCACCGAGGAACTCCCTTAGCCCTAATTTTTGATCCTCTTCATCACTACTTAGAAATGGCAATCTGTGAGTCGGCACCCTACATAAGAGCCCAGATTCTCAACCCCATGGCTTCCTGACTGAGTTACCTGTAGCCAGTTAGTTTAAGTGTTCAGTGTTCTTGTTAGGAAAATGAGGCAATAGGACTTGTTAGAGACATCAAAGACATCAAATTGGAGTGTGTCAGGCCTGGTGACTCACACCTGCAGTCCCATCACTTGGGAAGCTGAGACAGGAAGATTGCTGTGAGACTGTTCACACAGCATTAAAACACCCTCTAAATACACATCTTAATACCAACATGTAGCGGAACACTCCAGCCTCATCAGTGCAGACTTGCAACTGGTCAATGTGCAGGGAATAAGAGCCGGTGGAGTGCCCAGCCCTAAATGGGACATCTGTCATTCCATGGTTCCAGGATAGAGGTGGAGGAGGGGGCAGAAAGACTGTAAAGGCCAGAGGAAGAGGATGGCTGCTCCAAAAGAGCCTTTTCAGGATGTGACAAGCCCACTGTACCCATGACCTTGCAGCAGCTATGACAAGACCTACACAAGCTCAAACTACCTAAAAGCCCAGCAAATACGGGGAAAGGGCTCACAAAACCCCACCCCTAGCTGAGAAGCTATGGCCACTTCGATAGGGAAAGTCAGTTTTCTTCAGTAATGTAGCCCTGGGAGATTACCCATGCTTCAGTAGCTGGCCCTACACTCATGCAAATACTGGCAGTTGTGAGTGGACTTAGTTTAAAACAAGAAGACTTGAAATTGGGAAGAAAAAAAAGGGGGGGGGGGGTGATTGCAGGTGCATGCCATCATACTAAAACTTGGAAGTGACATCTCAGCCCTCCCAAACCCGAAAGAGGGCTGTCTTTTAAATCTCCCTTCTATAAAGAAGAAACAGAGGCATGGCTGGAAGTCAATTGTGCCACAATCACAGAAGTAACTCATGTTGAAGGCATGAGTTACAACAACAACAACAACAAAAACAAAAAAAAAAAAAAAAAAAAAAAAAAAAAAAAGGAAGAAAGAAAAGAAACAACCCAGGCAGCCTGGCCTTCCATCCTGTACCCTTCACAACCACCCACCTCTGGACACATCTTAGCAGAGTCAAAAGTGGTGGTACAGAGACCAGAAATACCAATTCATTCCAGCAAGCCCTTGCAGATTGCTCATTAATACAGGAAGCCCCAGGGTCAGATTCTCAAAAGTACCCTGTGAAATATTTTCATCTCCACGGCCACTTTACAGATGAGGAAACAGCTCAGACAAGTAAACAGGGCATCACTGGCTGACGATCGTACAGTGCGTTTTGGCACCTGTGTAAGCGCTAACTCCACATAACCCTCCTAACCACAACTGAAAGGTAAATTCCATTGTTACTCAACCTTCTTACCCAAACAACATGTCCAAGGCCCTCCACTAGCTAAGCAAAGGGCAAGCCCAAGGCTGTCCTGGTAACACTTGGCTACATGATGGAGGAACAGAAATTCAAGCCCAGGTCAAACTCCTGAGTAGGAACCTAGTTACCCTTTCCACCGGAACTATGGTAGGAAAGCCTGAAGAAGATGCATTGAAGGAGAAAGTGATTGGGGATATAATAATGTTTGTAAAAGAAAGAAAAAGCAAGGAATCCCATCTAAGTGAAGCCTTAGCAATACAGTAGTGGGCACAGTATTAAACTATTAAGAAAATCAGAATAAATCAGAAAAGTTTTACATCATCTTAATTACAAAATACTCTTGATAAAGGAAAACAGGTTTTTTATTCCCTTTAATTTTGTCTTGAAATTCAACAAGGAACCGAAATGTGTCATTTTCCTTTTGTCACCCTGGGCTCCACCATCCTGACTTCCAATAGCTACTTCCTCAAACTAAGCCCCGCAAAGCCCAGTGGTTTACCAGACCTCCACGGACCTTTGCAATATTCTCCTTGAAGTCTTGAAATAGCCATTTAGTAACAGAAGTAATCGGGAAAAATCAATCCAAGAACTAGAGGAAACTAGCGCACCTCTTTCTGGTGGCACCAGGGGCTCATGATTCAAGTTCTGGCAGAAACTCGGCAGATCCGGATTCAATTTTACTGGCAATCTGATTTATGACTACAATATTGGCAGCTACAGAAGCACAAGTCTTAAGCCTATGCTCAAGAAAAAGGAACAGGAAGCGATGGGAATGGCAAGGGAGCCCTGCGGGTCAGGGCTTGTCCCTGGATTTGTGAGATGGGCAAGCGGTAATTCTAGGAAAGTGCCAGGCGATGGGCCAACTTCAGGGTCCCAAACGTGTGCAGCGAACAAGGTACTTTTACGCCCCCTCGCGGACCCAAGTGACAACTGACGGTGTGCCAATTAAGGGATAGGTAGAGGTTTGGGGAAAGGTTCTTGAAGACAAGCCTTCTGAGCAACCCTTCAACCGACTCGCAGAGATCCGCCCGGTTTTCCATAAAGGTAAATTGAGACTCAGAGAAAGGAAGCATGCCTTGCTAGTAAAACCACGAAGCCCGCGCCTTTTATCTGGAAGTGCAGGGGCTGGGTCCAACCTGACCCCTCTTCTTTTCCGGACGGAGCAGGCTAGGCAGTCAGCAGGGACACCCGGCAAGGGGAGCGAGTGCACAGAGTGGAGGCGAGACCGCGGGACGCAGGGCTGCACGCAGTCCAGCTAGGGCGCAGCCTGCACCGCGCGTTCCCCGGGCGTCGGTCCCCGCAGCCCTGCAGAAGCTGCTCTTCCCTGGGCTGCAGCGGCCAGGCACCTGCGTGGCGCGAACGGAGCAACCATCCCAGGAGCTCGCAACTGTCCCCGCGCCCCGCGCAATGCGCCTGCCACGAGCCAGATCCGGTGCGCTCCTGCCCGCAGCGGGCACAGGGCAATCCGGAGCCCACCAACTGAGCGCCTCTCCTTACCGGAGCTGCTCCCCGGTAACGAGGACTTCTGCCATGCGTTCCAGCTCTCTCTGCTGCGCCCCGCCACTCCCGCCGGGGTTGCTGTCGCTGCCACCGCCGCCGCCGCCGCCGCCGCCGCTGCTGCTGCTGCCCTCCTCCATGCTACCGACCGCGCGGCTGCCACTCTGTCTTTGCTGTCCCGCCGGGTGCCTGCTGTTCGGATCAGTCTGCCCTCACCGCGGCCGCCCCGGCCATGTTTGTTCCGGGCGGTCCCAGGGCGCAGACGCGATTGGCTGGTGAGGGAATCCGGTGGATAAACTGAATAGCTCAGCGAGTCCGGCCTTCGGCTTGGGGCGGGGCCTGGGCGCTCTCGTGGTCGGGGGGCGGGGCCAAGGAAAAATATAAACACCGGGGCGGGTCACTGAGCGGTGCTGTATTTCTGCAGGACTTGGAGTGTTTGTCCCTCTTAATAGTTCCTTTTTTTTTTTTTTTAAACTCCCAAACTCATGCTGGGGAATTTTGTATTTTTACTGTACTTTCCATAGTCCAGTTGCAAAGAATAAAAATGGAAACAGTTACTGCCGGGCGCTGAGGCTCAAGCCTGCAATCTCAGCACTCTGGGAGGCAGAGTCAGGCAGATCTCTGTGAGTTCAAGACCAGCTTGGTCTACAAGGCAAGTCCAGGACATCCAAGGCAACACAGAAAAACCTGACTCGAAAACAAACAAAATGAGGACAGTATACTTAAGTAACGCGCAATCAGGGACTTGGCTGAAGGGCGGCCACACTGTCTGACCCCTTTCCCTGTAGACAGCCTTACTGTGGAGTCAATAAAACATCCTGGCCTGGGGTTCAAAAAGACTATGAACCCGACCTCGTTCCTTTGATTTCCTACCTTAATGCTCTTAATCTCTTCTTACAGTAATTGTGGCTAGCACCCAGCCGCATTTAAGATGGTTTTAGATAAGTTGTTACTGTCTTAATGTTTCCAGATAGCAGTTTGAGCATTGCCTTTGTTTAACAGCTGGAAGGCGGCTTGAGTGGCGTAACTAGTCTCAGACAAGCAGTCGGGGTCATTCTCAGTTTTAGGTTGTGTTTTAAAACAGTTGCATCTTGCTAGCCGTGGTGACACACCTCTGTTCCTAGAACTCCAGAGGATGAGGCAGGATGGTGTGTTTGAACCAGACTGGGATAAAAAGATACCTTGTCTCATAAAGCAAACTAAAACAAAAACACCTGGCCTGACAGAAGAGAGCAGTACAGTAAACTTTCAGCAGAACAGGTTAAACACATTTGAGAGAAGAGCGGCTCTAAAATGCTCATAAAAAGTTGGTTGTCATCATCCCTCCTCATTTTTAGTTTGTAACTATCCACATGGCTGTAATAGAGAGGTATGTCCCTCACAGTTGAACAATTTGTTTTTAGAAGTATCTTTGAATTTCCCTTCAAGGATACTTGAAGGGGAATCCTTCAAGTAAGGTAGGGGATACAGGAACTTGTGTCTGTGTCGATACATACCACAGCACATACCACCATGGCAACTGCTGCTATGAATGTTACTTGACTTTCCTGAAGGCTAGGCTCTGACCCTGCCTGAACCCCAAAATAGAACAGTTAGCACTTTGCAAAGCCCCCTCACCAGTAAGCAAAACCGCTGTAGTCCCATCTTAAGGGAAAGATTAAAATATACTGTTTGAGACAGAATCTTGCTGTGTAGCCCAGGCTGGAATCAAACCCAGGATCTCCCTTCCTTAGCCTCCCAAGTGCTGGGCTTACAAGCACTGAACACCATGCTCTGCTCTGCTCTCCTCCCCTCCCCCAAAGGAAAACTCAGCCTTTCCTAACACTCTAAGACAGCACTCGAAGATTCCCTGGGGCATCACAACAATTGCTGGAAATTTTATTTACGCTTGTGCTTCACATGACACCACGAACCTTTTTCATATCGTTTTATTTATCTTCACAAAACTCTCTAAGGTGCCAGCGCGTTCAAACGCAAATATGAAAGGTGAAACAGTTTATCTAAGTTTCACAACTAGAAAGTTACAGTTACGCAGCCCTTGATGCTTATTCTATAGATTCTCAAGATATGCTCAGTTATGAGCTAGAAAGAAAACTAGGCCCCCTATCAGAATATCCTAGGCAATTCCTCTGCCAGAAGAAATCATTTAAGCTTACTAACTTTCATAAACAGATGAGATTTTTAAAAGTGGCCCAAGAGAAGCAGGTTTTAGTTAAATATGCTTCTAAGAGCCCCACTCTGAGTGTAGAAACATCAAGAAACAGAGGTAGATGGCCTACACTTCATGAGAGTAACAGCTGTCTGGGTTCAGCTTCTTGAGACAGAATCTCATGTAGCCAAAGCTGGCTTTGAATTCCTGATTCTCTTGCCTCCACTTTCCAAGTGTTGTTGGGCTTGAAAGCCCCTCGTGTGTGCGTGTGTGTGTGTGTGTGTGTGTGTGTGTGTGTGTGTGTGTGTTGGGTGGTAGTGTGTGTGTGTGTGTGTGTGTGTGTGTGTGTGTGTGTTGGTGGTGGTAGTGTGTGTGTGTGAGTTGGTGCTGGTGTGTGTGTGTAAGGTGGGGGTAGTGATGTGTGTGTGTGTGTGTGTTAGTGGTGGTGGTGATAGTATGTGTGTGTTTCTGTGTGTGAAGATATTGACTGTGAGTGCTGGGGCAACAACTATGCCTGTGTCTTCTGACAGAAGACAGGAGGGTGTGGCTGTGGCAGTTGGTCCCACACCGAGATTTCAGGAGAGCTGAGAATCCTGACAGACTTCCTCTTGCAAGCTGATTATCTTCTCAGACTGTTCTGTTCTCACAGGGAAAGGTTTTATACCATCAGCTGCATTGCTGATTGAGTGGGTTAAATGAAATGCAGTAAATCATTATAGGTGGAAACTCGTAAATGTGAAGTCGTCTTTCCCAGCAATCCTCACTCACCCTACTATGCCTCCTGGACTTGTTTTATGCTGATATCAACATTTGGATGGTGAGGTCTAGGTGTGTGTATGTGTTTACACATGATCAAACTGTTATATTTTGGTGAAATACAAATTAAATAAAAAGGCATGCCTAACACATACCCAAACCTTATGTGAATCAATGGACAAAAATACCCTGTAAAACTGCTATGATTGTTTCTAAGTGATTTCTTTCAGTAATAAACAGTATATCTCCTTTTTCATGTAGGTAAATGGCCACTCCCTGGTCAGCCATATTTTGAGCAGTGCTGGCATAATGAACTCTTCCTAAAAATGAGTCACAAAGTGAAGAGATGAACTTGAATTACTAAAAAAGTCAAAGTAGTGACAGCCATAAAGCTTAATGAGAGAGTAGGTGTTATCTGGGATTGATGCCACACCCCCCAAATCCTAGCATTTGGAAGATGGAAGGTCAGTAGTTCAAGGTCAACCTTAGCACATTCAGGGTTAGCCTGGAATGCATGATATCCTGTTTCAAAAACAAAGCAACTCTGGGTGTGGTGGGGAATGGCTTTAATCCCAGAACTCCAGGAGGCAGAGACAGGTGTATCTCTGTGAGTTCAAGGACAGTCTGGCCTACAGAACAAGTTCCAAGATAGCCAGGGCTACACAGAGAAAGCCTGCATTTAAAAACCAAAATTAAAATAAAGTAATAAAAATGTTTTATTGTATTTCATTGTGTGTGTGCATGCATACAGGTGGAGGTCATGTAACAACTTGCTGGAGCCAGTCGGTCTCCCATCTGAATTCAGGTTCCGAGCCTTGGCATCCACCTTCGCCCAGCTAACTCATTTCCCCTGAATATACATCCTCCTATAACAGTTAGATTGTTCTCAAACAGTAGTGCAAGCCCCTATTCCTTACCCACCATACTTTTTCTTGTTTTTGTGAATGGAAGAAACTGATTGTTTAGATTCTCCTGTCCAATATATATGCAAAGGACCTGGTACAGACCCTTCCAGGTCCCATTCAAGCTTCCTCAGTTTCTGAGAGTTCATATCGCTTTGCTCATGTTGATCTAGAGGGCCTTATTTTCTTGGTGCTCTCCATCCCCTCTGACTCTAATACTCCTTCTGCCTCCTCTTCTTCAGGGTTCCCTGCGCTCTGAAGGGAGGAACTGGATGGAGACATCCCATGTAGGGCTGAGTGTTATCCTCCTCAAATATTTTTGTTGCTAGATCTGTGGAGAGGGGCTTAGCCTTTGCTGAAATCATTGTAAGGTCTGGGAGTATATCTTAGTGACACAGTGCTTGCCTAGCATGGCCAAGGACTTGGGTTTTATCCCTGGCCCTATGGAAAACAAACTAACCAAACAAACTCTTAGGTGACACCTGAAACCTGTGTTTGACAACAAACAAACAACAAACCCCAAAAGACTGATTGTAAAGACAGTGAAAAGTAAGACATCCAGGACTTCACATTCACACCCACTTTGCTATTTTATTGTGTTGATTTGTCTTTTTGTAAGAAAACCTTACAAAATAAGCCATTTTCACCAGTTCAGCCCTCCTTTAGGCCCTAGATTGTTTAACATATTGGTGCATGCTGCCATCTACTGGTTAGTTTTGCAATGACACTAAACAATTGTGAATTGCCTGTGGGGAAATGACTACCTCTCAGAGGTTCTGGTGGGAAGTTTACAGTTAATTACATTTATTGGAGTGATACTGCCTTTTTATGAGCATATATTAGATATGCCATAATTCACATTTCCTTAGGACAATAACTCACAAAGACCTGAATTATATAGCAGACCTGAATTATATAGCACACCTCAACTGTCTTTCCTAGGAGGCAGTTTTTGTGAAATTTTAATATGATAGAGAACAGTCAGGAATGTATGTATCTATTGTATGTATTGACAAAGAATTGTATATTGTGTTGTTCCAGTCTTAATCAGCAAAGGTTTAGCTTTGAGGTAAATGACTCTCTTTGCCATCTGTGTGAATTACACAATACACAGGGCAAACATACTTCAGTTTGCATATGTGTGTGTATGTGTGTATTCCACTCTCAGTAGCCTTTAACTACCTAGCTCCTGGGGGTCTGATGCCATCTATCTCTGGGCTTCTGCAAGCACCTGGACTCACATGCACATATTCACCCAAAGATACATAAACACTCACACATATCATGTAATTTATTAAAACACATAAATACATTGGGCTGGCAAATGCCTCACTTGGTAAAGGTGCTTATTGCAAAGCCTGGTGATCTGGGCTCTATAACATCAGGACCTGCATGATAAAAGGAGAAAACTGATTCTTGCTCTTTGTT